AAAATAATATAAAACAATAAATAGAAAAAATTATAAAAAAAGAATAAATAAGACTTATAAAAACCAAATTATCTATTAGTAAAAACAAAAAAAGCTTAAACACAATTAAATAAATTTAGCTATAATAATATAATAAAAATAAAGCTAAATTAGATATTAGAATAGAATTAGAAGTAAATTATTGCTTTAGATTATCAACTCTCTCTAAAGATCACTTGTACCAACTAGTTTCCGAAAGCAAGTTGAAGACTCAAGACCAGAAGTGAACAAATAACTTGAAGTTTTCTTAATACAAAATGTTGTCAACAAAGTTCTAAATGTGATATACCAAAGAGCAGATATTTTGGATGGTTTGCAAAGGGGTCAAGCCTTTTCTAGTCTTTTTAGATGGACTCCTCTTTGTATTTGACATCCAAACCGGAGAAGTCTTTGAGAACAGTAAGCAGAAGCAAGACTCAAGTTATTTTGGGAACAAAAGGCTATGAAGAACTCTTGAAACAACACTCCTTAGTTCGAAAACTTGCAAATCTACACTTTTCACCTCCTATTTTCTTTTTTTATATTTTTGACAAAAAGTGGGGGATTTGGCTACCCTTCAAAAGATCAGTATTGTTTACATTTCTATTTTCAGAAAGTCTTAAGTTATGATATGACGAACAAGGAATACAACAATCATATGTAAAGAGGAAGTTCTGTTTAGTTTAAATCGAAGTACATAGAAAGTCCTGTGATTGGATTAGTGTTAACTGTACAGGAATGAATACCTTATACGACAGACCTGAGAAAGTAGCTTCTAATAATGCTGGTTAACTATAGAGAAGACCCTGTTTAATCTCATATAGTAAAGAAGCAAGATTCGAAATGAAGACTGTAAAAGGATTTTAGGAAAGAGCAGCCTGTTATAAATAGAACTGATAATCATGTGTCAAGGTTTTAAAATCAGCGTTCTAGGATTCAAAATAGATTTTATGAGAGTTGTAAACTAGAGCGATATAATAGAGATATGCAATATTCTGAGATCATATGCAATCAGCAAGACCACAATTAGCTATATATACAACTTTAGTTATTGTTTATTTAAAGATTCTGCTTACAGATTATCTGCTAATTGCTATATCTAAAATCTGCTTGTGAGTTCTTTATTTATATTCTATATAAATCTAATTTTAAATTATAACTTTAGGCTACTTTAACTGCAAATTAAGCCTCTACTAAAATAGATATCTATATTTCATATTTTGGGTTTCTTGTATTAGAGATATTTTGTATTTGGTAAGGCTAATCTTTTTTTACAGATCTTCCTCATATTTATTATTTCTTTTACTATTTATAGTGTTTATACTTTATAAGTTGATCTCTTTTTATAAATTTTTACTCCAAACTTGTATTTACTTGAACTTGTATTACAGGGTTTTGCATCTAATTTATAACTTCTTTTATGATTATAGAGTATATTTCACCTTCAGTTGAACTCAAACCATTGATCTTGTCTATAGTAGATCAGAACTTACAAAGTAAACTATGAAACCCAAACCTCAATTAATATATATTAACAATAAGTCAATAATTTGAAAAACTAAGCTAAGCATCATGTTATCCAACTGTAAATATATAAATATATATATTCTAATAATCAGATTATATAATTATACAAATATTAGACTCAAGCTACAGATTGTGCTATTAAAGATTAGTACATATTACCCAAATTAAACTATATATAAATATATTTACTTTACTTTACTTTAACCCAAAAGTTTAATGCAAAAAAATTTTACTAAATAGATAGGCCTACTGTTTTAATAACAAACTATTTTTGTTATTCAAGGTATTTTTATTACTAAGAATATAAACTTAATCTTTAATTTGTTTAGTATTAATACAAATACAAAGATATATATTGATCTATTTATTAAATCTCATTAAATACTATCATTAGCTCTATTAAGAATATATTAACCAAATAATATTTTCTTATATAGTTTTGATTAATAAACTTAATGAGTATATTAAAATATTTTTTAACTATTTTGCATTAACTAGAATCTACAAGATACTTTTATAGCATATAATAATATATTTATATAATTAATATCAATATAATAACAAGTTTAGTAATAGCAATTTTAAACTACCAAGTAATTGTTTACTAACCTCTACTAAATAATCTTTTAATCAATACTAATAACTCTAGCTAGTAGAATAAAAAAGATATAATAACTCAGACAATACTCTATAGTAATAAAGTAATAAAAATTAAAAATATATTATAAAAGTATCTTTTTTTTAAATATATAGCAAACTAAATACTAGTTAATAGCTTTGATAATTCTCTATCAGCTTATATTAAAAATATTTATTTAAGACTAGCTGTAAACCCAGGCGTTGCTTCAGAATAAAATTTAATTTTTTATAATTTTTTTAAATTTTAATTTTTTTATATAAATAAATCTTTAAATCCAAATATCTTGGATTCACTAAGCTGATTTTGATAATCTAAAAACTATTAGAACCAGAAAAGATAGTTCTACAACTTTAATTAGAAGGCCAAGAGAGATTATCTTATTAAAAACTTCTTTAATTTTTAAAAAAATATATATATTATATATAATTAAGATTTAAAAAGTTTTTCAATAAGATAAAGTACTGCTATTTACTATAAAAAACATTATTCACACCATAGATTTTGTATTATATTAGAAAATCAATCATTAATTTTTATTTGCACCATTAAAATAATTATTAATCAACTAACACATGTAGTATTTACTAATTTTCCCCCCAAGTTTCTATTGGCCATCGGTAAATTGCTCTATTGGGAATGTGGTAGGTGCTTTTTTGTATTTTTTTTTTCTTGACACTTCTTGCATGTGTCTTGCTTCACTGGGTCTTCTTTGAGCTTTACTTTATTGGATCTTGCTTCGTCAGGTTTGGCTTCATTGTGATCTTTAGCCTTTACTTTATTGGATCTTGCTTCGTCGGGTTTGGCTTCGTTGGGACTTCCTACTTCTTTTCTCTATTGGATTCAGAATCTGGGATTAGAAATGTGGTAGGTGCTTTTTTTGTATAGTTTAATTTCTTTTTCTTTAAATGAAACTAACACTTCTTGTGTGTCTTACTTTGCTGAATCTTCTTTAAGCTTTACTTAATTGGATCTTGCTTCGTCAGGTTTGGCTTCGTTGGGACTTCCTTCTTCTTTTCTCTGTTGGATTTAAAATATGTGATTGAGAATGTGGTAGGTGTTTTTTTGTATAGTTTAAATTTTTTTTTTTAAACAAAACTAACACTTCTTGTGCATGTCTTACTTCACTGAGTCTTTTTTGAGCTTTACTTTATTGGATCTTGCTTTGTCAGGTTTGGCTTCATTGGGAATTCCTTCTTCTTTTCTCTGTTAGATTCAGAATCTGGAATTAGGAATGTGGTAGATGCTTTTTTTGTATAGTTTAATTTTTTTTTTTAAATGAAACTAACACTTCTTGCACGTATCTTACTTCGTTTGGTCTTCTTTGGACTTTACTTAATTGGATCTTGCTTCATCAGGTTTGGCTTCATTGGGACTTACTTCTTCTTTTTTTCTGTTGGATTCAGAATCTGAGATTAGGAATGTGGTAGGTGCTTTTTTTGTATAGTTTGATTTTTTTTTTTTTAAACGAAACTAACACTTCTTGTGTATGTCTTACTTCAATTTGTCTTCTTCGGTCTTTACTTAATTGGATCTTGCTTCGTCGAGTTTGGCTTTGTTGGGACTTCCTTCTTCTTTTCTCTATTGGATTCAGAATCTGGTATTGGGAATGTGATAGGTGTTTTTTTGTATAGTTTAATTTTTTTTTTCTTTAAATGAAACTAACACTTGTGCGTGTCTTACTTTACTAGGTCTTCTTTGGGCTTTACTTTATTGGATCTTGCTTTGTCAGGTTTGGCTTCATTGGGTCTTGCTTGTCAGGTTTGGCTTTGTTGGGTTTGGCTTTTTTGGGTCTTACTTCATCGGTTCTTACTTTATTGGTCTTTGTTGGGTCTTGCTTCGTCGGGTCTTACTTTATTGGTTTTGCTTTATCAGATCTTTCTTTGTCAGATCTTACTTTGTCAGGTCTTGCTTTGTCAGTCTAACTTCATCAGGTTTTGCTTCATTAGTTCTTACTTCATTGAGTCTTACATTGTTCAATGGGTCTTGTTTTTTGTTCTTTAATACAGTGGTTTGAAATTTTATACTTACGCTCAATAAGATCTTAGTTTTATAGATCTCAAAATAATTTTTCAAGATTCTAAGATAAGCAAAACTTTTCCTAGTAACAATGAAGATATGCTATATAGAAATATAGAATGCTGATATTATATAACAAAATCTTAACTGATACACTTTGTTTAGAAAATGAACTATACAAGATTATCTTATATATTAGAGATATTGGAAGTATTTTTACTAGACTACTTCTTTACGACATTAAATCTAAGTAGCCTTTCATTACAAATTGCTTAATTTAAATAAGTATAGACTTTTTAATAGTAATAGAACCGAGTTTAATATTTGAATTTGTAGTATGTTTGGGTTTAACACCATAAATTAGCTTCTGATTGTAGATTGTATTCAACTTTGTTATAGTGAAATTATCAGACAGGAGATTTTTTATATTATATCAAGAGGGTTTTTATATAAACTTCACGATAACAAGAGGTCTACTATAACAAGAGTTCACCATAACGAAAGTGACTTATAATAAGTTCAGTTTAAATATAATAAATATTGTAGAGTATCTGGCATGCCACCTAACTTAGTAGATTGACAATTACAGTTTTTAAAATTAGATATTACAGTCAACCTACTTTATAATAGACAAAATTGGCTATTCTTATAAGAAATATTTTATTAAGTAATTTACCAATTTACTAGATCTTTATACTATACTTGTTGCAGAATTAGCTGTAACATAATTACAAGTGTATCTTATCACATAATTACTTATTATGTTGAATATAATTTTGTTTTTTACAAACATCAAAACAGTATTTATCATTGTTATCGTTATTGATTCTAGCCTGTTTTAAGAAGATGTAACATATCTATATAGTTTAATTGTATTTATTCTTAATAAAGCAATTCTTAAAATATCATTCATATGAAAGTTTTTTTTGAATCACTGCTAGCTATGTAGTCTTTCAGCAATATATTAAATTATATTACTTATTGTATTAGATTGTGAATTTATTTCGTCATCTGGTTTCTTCAAGTTTCAAACCAGAATATTTTTGACATATAAGCATAACATAAAACAGAAATATAATAATATACAGTAAAATATGATATAACAAAGAAAAATGAAGAGAATTGCATGACAAGTAACAATAACATTACATGAAATACTTTAATAAAACCTTGACGATCATTGCAGAAAATAAATTACTGTAAATGGCTATATATATGACCCAGGTATGTCGATTAAAAAACTTGAATTATACTCAGAGGTTTATTATTTGGAGGGGGTATAATAATATGTAGATTTCTTCTTGCTAGATATAAATTACTAATCAAGAAACTATGGTCTCTTATATTTTACTAAATTCTTAACCCTGGTATAATAGAGGGGGTCTATTATTAAGGATCTTTTGAATATTCATCATGGCTATTCAGTAAATATTCACAGGTTTTGGATATTCATGAATAGCATTGGACAAATAACCAGATTTTGGATGGATACCCATGTTATTATTTATAAATGCAAATATTCACACGATTATTCACAGATTAATTATATTGATTACAAACCCCTTGACTATTTGTGAATTTGTGTAACCAAATATTGGATATTCAATAGATATCTGTTTATAACTGTAAATATTCATGGTTCTGACCTCTAATTGGAACTATATAAATCATTTGCCAAACTTGCTGCAATATTTATCGTTTAAGAATTCTCAAAAATATCTATATAACAAAGAAAAAGAAAAAGAATTTAGAATTTACTATCAAATACTCATTACGGAAAGAGATACATATTAAAAAAAAATT